TTCTGGGGCTCCTGGTGGTCCCCCGGAGGTGACCCCGCTGTTCCCCGCAGTTGACAACCGCAGCAGGAAGAGGGTGTGCAACCAGAAGAACCGACGGGACTTCTCGGCCTTCAAGGACCCCGACAACGAGCTGAAGGTCAAGGTGTCACCTCAGCTCCTGCTGGCCGCCCACCGCTTCCTGTCCACCGGTCAGTCTGGATGTCCTGGGGCTGGGACGTCCTGGGGGCATCCCAGGGCTGGGACATCCCAGGGCTTGGAACATTCTGGGGACATCCCAGGGCTGGGACATCCTGGGGCTGGAACATCCTGGGGACATCCCAGGGCTTGGAACATCCTGGGGACATCCCAGGGCTGGGACATCCTGGGGACTGGACGATCTTGGAGCTGGAGGAGCTCACAAAGTCCTTGTGTCCCCTCTGGTCACTCCAAGCAGAAGTTTTGGCTCTTGTCCCACTTTTTGTTGTGTCCATCCCACCCAAAATGGGAGTGGACAAGGTTGGGGATGGGTGTCCCGGTCCCTTGGGTTTTGATGGCTTCTTTGGGACCTCTGGGATGGACATCCTGGCCCTTTAGAGTCCTCTAGGATGGACATTCCAACACCAAGGGTCTCCTAGACCTTCCCAGGATGGGATTCCAGCCCTGTGGGTCTCCTAGACCATCCCAGGATGGGAATCCTGGTCCCAGGAATCTCCTAGATCATCCCAGATGGACATCCACTTCCACCTGGCGGGATTAAAAGCATCTCTGACCTTCTGCCCCTCTCCAGAGGTGACCCTCTTCACCCCCAACTTCATCTCGGAGAAGATCCTGCTGCGGCTCCTCAAATACTCGGACGTCATCCAGGAGCTGAAGTTCGATGAGGAGAACAAGAAGTCGCCGCGGCACTTCCTGTACTGCAAGAACAAACCGGCCGACTACTTCATCCTCATCCTGCAGGTGAGGGCAGCTCCCGGGGGACCTCATCCATTGGGGTTTGGGGCATTCCTCAGCCCTTGGAATTTGGACAATTGCCATGGGATTTGGACAACTCCCATAAGATCTCATCCCTTAGGGTTTGGACAATTCCTGTGGGATTTGGACAACTCCCATGGGATCTCATCCCACGTGAATTGACGTTGGATTGACGTTGTTCTTCCTGCAGGGCAAGGTGGAGGTGGAGGCTGGCAAGGAGTGCATGAAGTTCGAGGCAGGAGCCTTTTCCTACTACGGGGTGATGGCCCTGAGTCCTCCTCCTGGATCTGGTGAGCATCTCCAGAACCTTCCAGGGGTCCCTGGTCAGAGCTGCCACCGGGAGACTCCCGAGGTTCCAAACCCCACTGATGTCCTGGGCTCAGCAGAGCTCCCCTGGAATCCTGGAGTGGTTGGGAGGGACCTTAGGGCCCCACGGGCAGGGACATCTCCCAGTGTCCATGGTGGCTCCAGCCTGGCCCTGGGGACACTTCCAGTGACCCTTGGGTCGGAGCTGCCCTGGGAACAGGAGATTCCAGAGGTCCCAGACCCTGCTGGTGCCCTGGACGAGCAGCTCCGTGGCTGATTTGGGGTTATTGGGATTCTTGTTAAAGCTCCCTTTTTAGGAAGAGTTTAACTTCTGGAATCCCACCCTAGAACCAAACCTAAACCTAAACCTAAACCTCCAGAGGCAATTCCAGCACCCCAAAGAACTCTGCCTTCAGAACGGGGTGAAAACCCCAAACTGAGGGGACGAGTGGGTAGAAAAGCCAGGCTGGGGAATGTCGGGAAGGAGCAGAAGGCAATCCCAACCCTTCCCAACCCCACAGAGATCCGCTCCCCGTCCCACATGAGCGGCCTGAACCGCTCGGCCTCGCTGAGCTACCACGAGCGCTCGGACTCGGGCTCGTCGCCGGTCAGCGGCAGCAACAACCAGCTCAACGCCGGCGGCGCGCAGTACGTGGCCGACTTCAGCGTGCGCGCCCTCACCGACCTGCAGTTCGTCAAGGTGAGCGCTCCGGCCGGACTGGGCTGGGAGAGCCCTTTGGGATGGGATTCCCGACCCAGCAGGGCTGGGAGAGCCCTTTGGGATGGGATTCCCGACCCATCAGGGATGGGAGAGCCCTTTGGGATGGGATTCTTGACCCAGCAGGGATGGGAGAGCCTGGGATTCCTGACCCACCACTCCATTCCTGACCCATCAGGGCTGGGAGAGCCCTTTGGGATGGGATTCCCGACCCAGCAGGGCTGGGAGAGCCCTTTGGGATGGGATTCCCGACCCAGCAGGGCTGGGAGAGCCCTTTGGGATGGGATTCCTGACCCACCACTCCATTCCTGACCCATCAGGGCTGGGAGAGCCCTTTGGGATGGGATTCTTGACCCAGCAGGGCTGGGAGAGCCCTTTGGGATGGGATTCCTGACCCACCACTCCATTCCTGACCCATCAGGGCTGGGAGAGCCCTTTGGGATGGGATTCCCGACCCAGCAGGGCTGGGAGAGCCCTTTGGGATGGGATTCCCGACCCAGCAGGGCTGGGAGAGCCCTTTGGGATGGGATTCCCGACCCATCAGGGATGGGAGAGCCCTTTGGGATGGGATTCTTGACCCAGCAGGGCTGGGAGAGCCCTTTGGGATGGGATTCCCAACCCGTTGGGTCTTCTCGGATGGTTTGGGATGAACGAGCGGCTCTGGCGAGGCTCGTTTTGGGGCAGGGTGGGAATCTGGGGTGGGAATTCCATCCCTTTGGGGGCTTCTACCCATCCTGGGTGGAAATTCCATCATTTTGGGGTCCTTTAGCCATTATAGGATGGGAATTCCATCCCTTTGGGCTCTCCTACCCCTTTTTTGGGATGGGAATTCTATCAATGCTTCATCTGGCGAGGCTCGTTTTGGGGTCGTCTGGGGTGGGAATTCCATCCCTTTGGGGGCTTCTACCCCTTTTTTGGGATGGGAATTCCATCAATGCCCCATTCTGGGATGGGAATTCCAGCCATGCCCTATTTTGGGATGGGAATGCCCCCTTTGCCCCCTCCCACCCCATTTTGGGATGGGAATTCCATCAATGCCCCATTCTGGGATGGGAATTCCAGCCATGTCCCATTTTGGGATGGGATTGCCCCGTTTGCCCTCTCCCACCCCATTCTGAACGAGCGGCTCTGGCGAGGCTCGTTTTGGGGTCGTCTGGGGTGGGAATTCCATCCCTTTGGGGGCTTCTACCCATCCTGGGTGGAAATTCCATCATTTTGGGGTCCTTTAGCCATTATAGGATGGGAATTCCATCCCTTTGGGCTCTCCTACCCCTTTTTTGGGATGGGAATTCTATCAATGCTTCATTTGGGATGGGAATTCCATCAATGCCCCATTCTGGGATGGGAATTCCAGCCATGTCCCATTTTGGGATGGGATTGCCCCGTTTGCCCTCTCCCACCCCATTCTGGGATGGGAATTCCATCAATGCCCCATTTTGGGGTGGGATTGCCCCCTTGGCCCCGTTCTGGGATGGGATTGCCCCCGGCCCTGCCACGCCCTGTCCCGGCGCAGATCACGCGGCAGGAGTACCAGAACGGGCTGCTGGCGTCGCGCATGGACAGCTGTCCCCAGTCCCCCGACAGCGCCGCCCCCAAAGCCGACGCGGCCATCCCGGAGAAGCCGGAGCCGCCGGCGCCGGCCGACGAGACCACGAGCCTGCTGAACGAGAGGAACTGCCTGAGCCGCCGCAGCAACCACAGCGGCCTGGAGAACTCCATCTGACCCCGGCCGCGCCGGCGCGCTGCCGCGTGCCCGGCGTGCCGCGCACGGACCTCGGCCCGGAGGACGAGCCGCTGCCGGAGCAGGAGGAGGCTGGTGGGATGGAGGGGCTGGGATTGGCCGCTGCCGGTCCGGCTCCGTCGCTCTGGGATGGACGGAGCGGCGCCGGCGCTGCCGGCACGGCGCCCACGGCTCAGGGAGCTTCGGTCTCGGTTTGCCCTGGGGACCCTGGGGTGGACATCCCGACCTGCCAGGGGATCGGGGATGGACGTCGGGGATGGACATCCCAACCCTTCCAGGACCCTTGGGATGGACAGCCCAACATTGCCAGGAGATCTGGGATGGGCATCCCAACCCTGCCAGGGTCCATCTAAACCTTTCAGGAAGCCCAGGATGGACATCCCAACCCTTCCAGGAACCCCAGTCCTTCCAGGACCCTTGGGATGGACATCCCAGCCGTGCTAGGAGATCTGGGATTGACATCCCATCCCCTCCAGGGTCCATCCCAACGTTTCAGGAACCCCGGGATGGACATCCCCGCCATGCCAGGGTCCAGCCCAATCCTTCTGGGAGCCCCAGCCCTTCCAGGAGTCCCAGGATGGACATCCCAACCCTGCCAGGACCCTCAGGATGGACACCCCAGACCTTCGGGATCCTTGGGATGGCAATTCCATCCCTTTGGGGTCTCCTCCACCCTCTTGGGATGTCCTGGGATGGGAATCCTGACCCCTTTCTGGTGGTTTTGGGGTCTCCTGGATAAATCCCAGCCCCTTCCCCGCTGGCCCGGGGATTTTCAGGTCTGGATTTTGGGGTCTGACTTGGAGATCTGGATTTTGGGATCAGGACTTTGTGGGGTCTGACTTTGGGGTCTGTTTTTTGGGGTGACACAGCGCTAGTGACCAAAGTTGTACAGGCAGGAGGGGGCTGAGGGTCCCCCCAAAACCCCCCTGGGGTTTTTTGGGGTCAGAGCCTGACCCCAAAAAAACAAAAATAAGCACAAAAGTTCCCCCTGGGTGAACTCCTGTAAGTTATTGGGAGAAGGTTGAATTATTTTTGTTAATCACATCTCGACGATCAGTTCCTAGCTCCTTCCGTGAGGAGATTTTAGAAATAATAATAATTAATTAATAATAATAATTAATAATTAATAATTAATAATAAGCCAGAAAAGAAGAAAAAAAAAGAAAAAAAAACTTTTTTATTAAATCTTCCTCTATGCAAACCCCTCCTTTCCCCCCCCGGGGAATTCCTATTTATTGTTCAGGTTTGATTTGTACTTTTGGGGAGCTCGGGCCGCGNGGGGCCCCCCGTGCCCCCTCTAAATTTGGGCACTGCGGTCCCCCCGCGCCCCCCACCCACTCTGGGCAGGGGTGCCGCCTCTAATGTGGGCAGAGGACCCCTCTGTGCCCCCTCAAATTCGGGCAGGGGACGCCCTGTGCCCCATCCAGTTTGGGAACTGGGTTCCCCCCGTGCCCCCACCTGGCACTGGACCCTCCCGTGCCCCCCCTTTGCCACCCCCGTGCCCCCCGTGCCCCCGGGCCCCCCCTTTGCCCCCCCCGTGCCCCCCGGTGCCCGCCGGTGCCCACCTTGTGCAGGCCGGTCCTGCCGTCGCTGTCGGCGGCGGCGGGGTCGGCGCCGTGCGCCAGCAGCAGCTCGGTGACGGCGCGGTGCCCGCAGTAGCAGGCGCGGTGCAGCGGCGTGGCCCCGCCGGGCGTGCGGGCATCGCAGGGCGCGCCGCGCTCCAGCAGCAGCCGGCACACGGCCAGGTGCCCGTTCCGGCTGGCGTAGTGCTGCGGGCACGGCGCGGCCTCAGCGCCGGGAGAACCGGGACCGCCGGGCGGGACCCACCCCGAACGCCCCCGGGACCCCCGCGCCAGGGAGCCCCGGTGCCACGGCCGTGCCCCCGGATAGCACCGACCCCAAAGACCCCCGTGCCCCCGGCGCCAGGCCGTGTGCCCGGTCAGGTCAGGACCCCGGTGCCCCCGGTGTCCCAGTGCCGTGTCCCCCCGGTGCCCCCGGTGTCCCAGGGCCGTGTCCCCCCGGTGCCCCCGGTGTACCAGTGCCGTGCCCCCCCGGTGTCCCGGTGCCCCCGGTGTACCAGTGCCGTGTACCCCGCCAGGTCGGGCTCCGCGGGGTCCCCTCGCCGCTCCAGCAGCTGCAGCACCCGCGCCTCGTCCCCGTCCCGCGCCGCCGCCCAGATCCCTGCGGGGAGCGGCGCCGCCTCAGCCACGGGCCCGGGCCGGGACCGGCACCGGTACCGGCACCGGGACCAAGCCCTGAGCCCCCCGTACCGGTAGCCCAGCCCTGCCCGTGCCCCCTCCGCTACCCCACCCGTGCCCAGAGTGCCCGGTGCCCCCCGGTACCGGATACCCCACACGGAAACCCCCCCGGTACCGGGCACCCCTCACGGAGCGCCGCCGGTAGCGGTGACCCGGCCCCCCCGGCCCCGGAGCCCCCCGGACCCCGCTCGAAGTCCATCTCGGACAGGCTCTGGTGCACGCTGGGCACGGCCACGCGGCCCTGGCAGCACGGAGAGGGCACGGCCGCCCGGCCCGGGCAGCACGGAGCGGGCGGCGAGCGGCGGCCGCCGGCCATGGCAGCGGCGGCGCTGAGGGAGGCGGCGGAGAGAGCCGAGGGCAGGCGGAAAGGGCCGAAGAAAGGCGGAAAGGGCCGAAGAAAGGCGGAGAGAGCCGAGAAGACACTGAGAGGGCCCAGGGGAGGCGGAAAGAGCCGAAAGAGGATGAAAGGGCCGGAAAATGCCGAAGGAAGCCGGGAAGAACCGAATGCAGCCGAAGGGCCCCCTGCCAAACCGTTGCGGCGCATGCGCACTGTCCACAGCCGGTAGCGCCGCCAGGGGGCGCCAGCGGCCGCCCAAAGCCCCTTTGGGGACCCGGGGTTCGCCCCCCCCCAAATTTTGGGGTCCCCGAGCCCCCCACCCCCACCAGCAACGGCAGCCACAGCGCTCCCACTCTCCACTGGGGGGTCCCAAGGCCCTTCCCCCGGCGGGGTTCCCAGGGGTCACCCCCACACCTTTATGGGCGCTCGCTGCTCAGGAATGGGGGTCCCCCAGCAGCAGTGGGGGCCCGGAGACCCCTCCCCTGTTTTGGGGTGTCCTTGGGTTCCCCTTCCCCATTTTGGGGTGTGCCTGGGCTCCCCGTCCCCCCACGCCGTGCCCAGCCCGCCCACAGCCTCATTTCCCAGCCCCCTCCCCATTCGCAGCCCCATTTCCCAGCCCCATTCCCAGCCCCCTCCCCATTCGCAGCCCCTCCCCCGTTTCCTGCGCGGTCCCAGCGGAGCCTCCCCGGGGAGGGCAGGGGGAGCCCGGCCCGGCCCCCCCGCCTGGGAACGGCTCCGCTTTTTGTCCTTTTTTAGCCCCGCTGGAGCTTTTTCCATGAGCTCAGCACCGCGGGAGGGGGAGCCCGAAACGTCCCGCAAAACCTCCCCAAAACCTCCCCAAAACTCTCCCAAAACTCCCCCAAATCTCTCACAAAAACTCCCCAAAACCTCAACCAAAACTCCCAAACTTCCCCCAAAACCTCAACCAAAGCTTTCCCAAAAACCTTCCCCAAAGTCCGCAAAAATTCCCCCAAACCTCCCCAAAAATTCCCCCAAAATTCCCCCAGAACCCCCCAAGAAAAAGAGAGAGGGGAAAAAAAAACCCCGGGATTTGTTTTTGGCTTTTTTCTGGAAGTCCTTTTATTATGAATATAAAAATACTCAGGTATTTACAGCAAATAAATATAATTTCGGTAACAAATAAATTACACTGGGGGGGGCTTATACAAAAGGGGTGGGGGGCGTGCAGGGGTGGGGACAGGAGGGGACAAGGCCAGGGCAGGGTGGGCACAGAGCCCTGGCAGGGGGGCACGGAGGGAGGGGGAGATAGAAAAATGTCAGGGAGAAAAACCCGAAATCGGCCCAAAAAATCGTCCCGAGGGCAGCGGGCACAAGGTGGGCACGGGGGGTCCCCAGCTCTGTCCCCCCACGGGGACACCGTACCGAAGGTGGTGGCACCAGCACCCCAGGGTGGCAGAGGTGCCACCAAGGCGGGCAGCGGTGCCAGGCCTGTGCCCAGGGCAGGTGGCAGTGACAATCCTGGGAGCCAGGGTGACAATCCTGTCCCCAAGGTGGCACCAGTGCCCGTGGATCAGTCCCCACGGTGGGCACTGGCGCTGGGGTGACACAGGGCACATCCTGTGGTGACACTGCTGGCCCCAAGCCGGGCACTGGGGTCACCAGGGCAGGTGCCAGTGTGGCAATCCTGTCCCCAGGGCGGGTGCCAGTGCCAGGTGTCCATCCCCAGCTGGATCCTGGTGCCAGGTGCCCGTCCTGAGCCAGGTCCTGGTGCCAGGCGTCCATTCCCAGCCGGGTGCCAGTGCCAGACACCCGTCCCCAGCTGGGTTCCAATGCCAGGTGCCCGTCCCCAGCCAGGTTTTGATGCCACACATCCATCCCCAGCTGGGTTCTGGTGCCAGGTGCCCATCTCCAGCTGGGTTCCAATGCCAGGTGTCCATCCCCAGCCAGGTTTTGATGCCAGACGCTCGTCCCCAGCCGGGCGCTGATGCCAACCAGCCATGCCCAGCCGGCTCCTGGTGCCAGCGGTGCCGCGCTGCCCCGCGGTGCCGCGCCGGCTGGCGGGGCGGGGGCGGGCACGGCTCACACCGACGACTCCTCGGGGTTGGAGTCGGGCAGGGGCTGGCGCTGCTGCAGCTTGCGCCGCAGCTCCTCGGCCAGGTCGGCGCAGGCCGGGCGCTCCTCGGCGCCCAGCGCCAGGCGGATGTAGCCGTTGGAGGCCGAGCCGCGCAGCGGGCCCAGGTGGATGCGGGTGGGCGAGTGCAGCGGCTGCCCGGGCACGGCGGCGGGCGGCGAGGCGGCGCCGCCGTTGCGGCAGCAGGCGGTGCCCGCCGTGCTGGCGTGGCCCGGCACGATCTTCAGCGAGCCGTCCGAGCAGTAGTAGCTGGAGGGGTCCCAGAGCTTCTCGTCCGAGTCGGAGGCGGCGCTGGGCACGAAGCGCGGGCTGGGCGGCTCCTTGGGCAGCTCGATGGGGTACACCAGCGTGCTCTCGATGGCCTTGGCGCCCTTGCCCAGCTCGTGGCGCAGCCGGCGCCACAGCGACAGCACGGCCAGCAGCAGCAGCAGGCACAGGGCGCCCAGGCACACGGCCAGCACCCACACCACGCCCAGGCTCTCCAGCGGCGCCCGCGTCTCCAGCGGCGCCCCCGGGCCGGCCAGCACGGCCACGCGGTACTCCTGGGCGGGCAGGCGGGCGCCCTGCTCCTCGGCCAGGCAGCGGTAGGTGCCGCTGTGCTGGGCGCCCGCGCCAGGCACCACCAGCGCCCGCAGCCGCGCCTCGCCCAGCACCAGCACCTGCTGCGCCGCCAGCGCCCGGCCCTCGAAGGTCCAGAGGGCGCGCGCCAGGTTGGAGGCCAGGCGGCACGTCAGCACCAGGTCGGTGCCCGCCACCACCGTCACGTTCTTGGGGGTCAGGGGGCCTGCGGGGACACGGCCGTCAGAGGGGAGGGCACGGGGGGCTCGTGGGGGGGCGTGGGGGGCGTGGGCACACCCGTGTGGCACCGGCGGGGTCTCACCTTGCTTGGCCACCTGTGGCACGGAGCAGGCGCCGGTATCGGAGCTCAGCACGTCCTGCACCAGGTGGGAGCTGCGGGAGGAGGGCACCGTGAGGGGGTGCCCGTGGTGCCCTCCCCAGGGACCCCCAGGTGTACCCCACCGATCCCAGCCTGGCATCCCTGCACAGACACCCCGAAATGCCACCCTGGGCACCCCTGCACAGACACCCCAAAATCCAAATGCTCCTGGAGCTCCTTGGGGCCGTGCCACTCCCTGGGCAGTGCCCAGTACCCCCTTCTGGGACAGAACCCTTCCCAAACTCCACCCCAACCGTGCCCTGGATGCCATCCCCGTGCCCCGGGTGCCCGTGCCCATGCCCCCGTACCCGTTGTGCCCGTCGGTGCGCACGCAGGCGCTGCCGTTGCGGCTCCAGGCGCAGTAGGGGTCCCGTGCCAGCACGCAGTCGGTGCAGGACTGGTAGCGCCCGCACTCTGCCAGGGGCAGCTGTGCCACCTGCAAGCGGGACCCGGCGAACAGCAGCTTCTGCCAGGGGAGGGGGGCACAGCGGTGAGGTGACATCGCCGGGTGGCACCGCGGCGACGCTGCCACCGCCGCCCCTGGCACGCTCACCTTGGTGCCCGCCAGCACCAGGCTCTCCACGGGCTGGGCCGGCTCGAACACCTGCAGCTCCTCCACCAGGTGGATGCGGGTGCCCAAATCCAGCGCCTTGTGCACCCAGCCGTCACCTGCGGGTTGGCACAGCGGGCATCAGCGACGGGGCACCCCGGGGCTGCCCACGGGCTGCCCTGTCCCCTGGTGCCCTGTCCCCTGGTGCCCTGTTCCTCAGTGCCACGTCTCCTCAATGCCCTGTCCCCTGGTGCCCTGCCCCTCCATGCCTGTCCCCACTGCACCCTGTCCCCTGGCATTACCTGTGCCAATGAAGAGTGCAAGGTGGCACTGTTCAGCCTCGCCATGCTGTGCCTCCTGTCCCCTATGCCCCTTGTCCCCTATGCCCTCTCTCCCTGTCCCCTGGCATTCCCTGTCCCTGGCATTACCTGTGCCAATGAAGAGCACCTCGTAGGTGGCCCCGTCCAGCCCTGCCACGCGGTCCACCACCAGCTGGGTGAAGTTGGCATCCCTCTTGAGCAGCAGCGGGCGCCCGCGCTGCGGCGGCACCGGCTCGTCCATCAGCGGGTGCTTCTTGGCGAAGTTGAGCGTGTTGTCGGGCAGCTCCAGCGAGCTGGCAAAGCCGTTCTGCCGGTGCCAGTCCGTGATGCACTGCCGGGGGCACGGGGCATCGTCAGGGCACGGGGGAGGGCACAGGGGGAAGGTCAGGGCACGGGGGAGGGCACGGGGGCACTGGGGTGGGTCCCAATCCGTCTCAGGATGGCACAGATGGATCCCAAATCCATCTCAGGAGGGCACAGATAGATGCCAATCCCTCTCAGGATGGCATAGACGGATCCCAATCCATCTGAGGGGGCACAGATGGATCCCACCCCCTCAGGGGGCACCACCAAAGCCAGGGATGGATCCCAACCCCATGGAGGGCACCACCAGTCCCAGAGATGGATCCCAACCCTTCAGGGGGGCACAGATGAATGCCAACCCCTCAGGGGGCACCACCAACCCCATGGATGGATCCCAACCCTTCAGGGGGCACCACCAGGAACAGAAACAGATGCCAGCCCCCAGAGGGCAGCAGCAGCCCCACAGCTGGCCCCAGCAGCCCCAGGCCGTGGCCGTGCCCGCTCTCACCGCGCCGGGCCGGGGCGTGGGCACCACGCCCGAGTAGCGCCCCCACTTCTGCGCCTGCTCCCGGTACTCCTTGTAGGGCCCCTCGAAGGCCTTCTTCACCTCCAGGATGGGGTAGCGGCAGATGGCAGACACGTCCACGTCACCCCTGCGGGCACACCGGGGTGGCAGCCAGCGGGCAACAGGACAAGGCCACCGTGGGCACCGTGGGCACTGGGACAAGGCCACCATGGGCGCCAGGACATGGTCACCATGGGCAAAAGGACAGGGCCACCATGGGCACCAGGACAAGGCCACCATGGGCACCAGGACATGGTCACCATGGGCAAAAGGACAGGGCCACTAGGGGCACCAAGGCAAGACTACCATGTTCACCAGGACAAGACCATCATGGTCACCAGGACAAGACCACCACGGGCACCAGGACAAGACCACCATGGGCACAGAGACAAAGCCACCACGGTCACTGGGACAAGGCCACCACGGTCACCAGGACAAGGCCAGCAGGTGCATGGGGCCAGGCACAGCAGGCACTCACCAGCGGGCCTGGAAGACGCCGAAGAAGGCGGTGTCCTGCCAGCGGGCGCCGGGCAGCGTGAACACGGCCTGCAGGCGGTTGAAGTGCAGCTGCTGCTCGGGCGCCGAGCACACCAGGCGCGCCTTCAGGAACGACGTCCACTTCTTCTGCAGCGTGCGCGCGCCGCCCACGTCACCCTGCGGGGACAGCGCGCTGCGGGCATCAGCGACGGGGCACGGTGGGCACTGGGACATGGCTGCTGTGGGCGCTGGGACATGGCCGCTGTGGGCACTGGGACATGGCCACGGTGGGCACCGCGGGCATCAGGACATGGCCACTGTGGGCACCGGGACATGGCCGCTGTGGGCACTGGGACATGGCCACGGTGGGCACTGGGACATGGCTGCTGTGGGCGCTGGGACATGGCCGCTGTGGGCACTGGGACATGGCCACGGTGTGCACCGTGGGTGCTGGGACATGGCCATGGTGGGCACCGGGACATGGCCACTGTGGGCACCAGGACATGGCCACGGTGGGCACCGCAGGCACCGGGACAGGCTACCATGGGCTCTGCACCGTGGGTGCTGGGACATGGCCATGGTGGGCACCGGGACATGGCCACTGTGGGCACCGTGGGCACTGGGACAGGCTACCATGGGCTCCGTGGGCATTGGGACATGGCCATCATGGTCAGCGTGGTGACCACAGGCACCAGGACACAGCCACTGGGACATGGCCATAGTGGGCACCGTGGGGATTGGGTCATGGCCACTGTGGGGACCATAGGTGCCAGGACACAGCCACCATGGGCACCATGGTGACCATGGGCACCACAGGCAGCAGGACAAGGCCACCACCAGCACTGGGACATGGCCACCAAGGGCACCATGGGCACACAGCCACCATGGTGACCATGGGCACTGGGACAAGGCCACCATGGGCACCATGACGAGGCCACCATGCTGACCACTGGCACTGGGACAAGGCCACCATGGGCAACAGGACAAGGCCACCATGGTGACCATGAGAACCAGGACAAGGCACCTTGCAGACCATGCCACCCATGCCACCAGCTGCTCAGCACAGCAGATCCTCACCTGCCCAACCCCATGCCAACTTCCCAGCCCTCGGACAGCTCAGGGCTGTCCCCAGGCGTACCTTGCAGACCCGTGCCACCCGTGCCACCACCTGCTCGGCGTAGCAGTCGTACTCGACGGCGCGCTCGCTGAAGAAGAAGTAAACCTTGTCGTCGTCGCCGCTGCCCGCGCTCTCGGGCACGAAGGCCGACGCCACGAAGTGGGGCTCTGCAAAAGCAGCCTGTCACAGCCGTGCCCGTGCCCTGTGCCCTCCCGTGTGCCCCGTGCCCCGTGTGCCCACCGTTGAGCCACGAGGTCAGGTACTCCGTCTTCATGGAGTAGTGCGGGCCCAGGTTGCGCAGGATGACGGGCTCCGTGCCCAGGAAGTTGTTGAAGGTGGCAGAGTAGAGCTCCCCGTCTGTGGGGGAGGTGTTTAAGGGGCGTGGCGGGCACGGGTGGCACCCCCCGTGACCCCAGAGGTGTCACCTACCCACGATGAGGCCGGTGTGGCCCTTGGTGGGGTCGTAGGGACATTTGCCTTTGCCGTCCTCAAATGCCACCGGGTCCAGGGTGAAGCCGGAGAGCTCCTGGGGGGCATGGAGGGGTGGGGGGCACTGGGTCATGTCTGTGCCACCCAGACAGGCCCCAGGGACATGGACACCCTCCAGGTGACCCTCCTGGGGACAGGGACACCCCTGGATGATCCTTCTGAGATGGGGACAGTCCTGGATGATCCTTTTGGGGACAGGGACACCCCTGGGGACAGAGCCGGGGAGGGCAGGGGGACATCGGGGACATCCCCAACCTGCTCTCTCATCACCCTAAATGTCACCCCCAGGGACAGGCACCCCTCCAAGATGACCCCTCTGGGACTGTCCCTGTTCCTCACCCAGGGGTGGCCCTGATTCAGGTGACCCATCTGGGACACTCCAAGAGCACAGGGGACAGCGCCAGCCTGCTCTCACAGCCACAAAACCGCCCTAAGCGCCACCCTTGGGGACAAGGCCACGCCTGGGCAGGGAGGGGACGCTGGGGAGCGGGCTGTGGGCCCCACTCACGATGTAGGTGCACTTGGGCTGGAAGGCGTAGGTGCCGCAGGCGTACAGGTGGGAGCTGTTGTAGCTCTGCAGGAAGCGCACGTAGTTGAAGCAGTCGGTCTGGGAGGGGACACAGGGGACATTAATGGGAACAGGGGAGGTGGCACTGGGGATATGGCATGGTAACAAGAGACATGGCACAGGGACAGTGGCACTGTACAGGAGTGGGGACAAGGGACATGGCACGAGGACAGTGGCACGGGACGGGGATAGAGGACAGGAGGCATTGCCACCACATGGGGACAGGGGAATGGAGCATGGCATGGGGACACAGGGACAGGGACGCTGGAGCTGGCACAGCACAGGGACGCAGGACATGGCACAAAGTCACAGGGACAGTGCCCCTGGAGCTGGCACGGCGCCCCAGCCCCCCAGCACCCCGTGCCCACCTGGTTGTTCTTGCCCTTCTGCACGCACTCCGCCTTCTTCTCCACGGGCGCCTCCCAGGAGATCTGGGGGTGGCACAGGGGTCAGGGGCTGGCAGGGCACCCCCACCCCAAATGCCACCCCGATTTTGGGGTGCCCCAGGGCCTCACCGCCGCCTTGAGCTCCACGGTGCCCGTGGCCAGGGCGAACACGGCCTCGCGGGCACCCACGTAGAGCAGCGCCTCGGCCTCGTCCAGCGTCAGCGTCAGGTAGTGAGAGACCCCGCCCTGGGAGAAACGCTTGGCAGTGTCCTGCAGCTCTGTGGGGACAGGGACACGGGCTGGGACACCACAGCACCCCCCAACCCCTGCCAGATCCCACCCACAGCTCTGTGGGGACAGGGGACACGGGGCTGGGACACCACAGCTCTGTGGGGACACCCAGCTGAGACCCCACCCCAGCTCTGTGGGGACACGGGGACCCTGCCATGCAGCTCTGTGGGTCACCGAGCTGGCACCCACCCCCACAGCTCTGTGGGGACACAGGGACCCAGGGCAGGGACCCCCGGGGGCACCCCCCGCCCCCGCCGGCCACCCCCGGCCCGTGGCACACAAAGGTCCCTTTGTCACCGAACACAGTGGCCTTTGCAGGGACCCCCCCGCGCCCCCCCTGCCACCCCCGGGCCCTGCAGAAAGGAACCATTGAGGGGACAGCGCCAGGGCCCCGGGCGGGGACAGGGACACGGGGCTGGCACGGCACGGGGGCGGCACCGGGACAGTGGCACGGCTGAGGGTGGGGTCCTGGGCCTGGGGACAGGGGACACTGCAAGGGACAGTGGCACAGTAAAGAGGGGGGACAGGGGACACTGCAAGGGACAGTGGCACAGTAAAGAGGGGGGACAGGGGACACTGCAAGGGACAGTGGCACAGCAAAGAGGGGGGACAAGGGACACTGCAAGGGACAGTGGCACAGCAAAGGGACCGAAGTCACAGGCATGGGGACAGTGGCACAGCAGAAGGATGGGGTCTGGCATGGGGACAGGGGACACAGCATGGGGACACTGGCATGGGACAGGGATAGAGGACAGGGGGCACTGCCACCACATGAGGACAGGGGGATGTGGCACGGCATGGGGACACAGGGCATGGCACGGGGACAGGGACACTGGAGCTGGCATGGCATGGGGACACAGGGTGACAGCACAGGGCAGGGACAGAGGCTGCGGGCACAGGACAAGGACAGCACCTCAGGGTGCTGGGGACACAGGGGACATGGCCGAGGGACAGGACAGGATGATGGCAGGGCGTGGGGACAGGAAATGGCAGAGGGATGGGACAAGGGACATGGCAGACGGATGGGACGGGTGGTGGCAGCGTGAGGACATGGAGGACGGACAGGACAAAGGAGCTGACAGAGGGATGGGGACAGGGGACAGGGCACAGGCATGGGGACAGGGGACAGGGTGCAGGGATGGGCACAGGGAAGAGGGTGCAGGGATGGGGACAGGGGACAGGGCACTGGGATGGGGACGGGGGACAGGCCAGAGAGATGAGCAGGGGACAGGGCACAGATGGGGACAGGGCACAGATGGGGACAGGGGACACAGCACAGGGATGGGAACAGGGGACACAGCAGAGGGATGGGGACAGGGGCACAGCAGAGGGATGGGGACAAGGGACACAGCACTGGGCAGTGGCTCCCAGGCGCTGGCACAGGACTGGGGATGGCACATCTGGCACACCCCTGCCTGTCCCCACACCTCAGTTCTGGGGACACCCACCCACCCCGCAGTGCTAACAAACTCCGGGGGTGGGGAGGGGACAAAAGCCACCCGAGGTGGTGACAAGAGCCCACAGCCCATCCCCGCTGCCCCTGGCACTCACCCTCGTAGGGCACGGTCCTCCTGGGCACAGCACTCCACGATGCCCCCGGGCTGCCAGCGGCGCGGGTGGCGGCGGTGACGAGCGCCAGCAGCACGGTGACAGCGGCCATGGCACCGGGGCGGCGCTGGGGACACCGCGGGGTCCCTGCCGGGGGACACGGCCGCGCCGGGGCCCCGTCAGTGCCACGGGGCAGCGGCGCGGGCGTCACGCGGGCGGCGCGGGCACAAGGCGGCATTGAGGCCGCGCTGTCACGAGGCCGGGGGCACCCCACGCCCCGGGGAATGGGGAATGGGGGGGGGCCGGCTGCTTCCCGCCCCCCACGTCCTGCCCGGGACCCCCCGGTGCCCCCGGGGGTGCCCCCGAGGGTGCCCCGGGGCGGGCAGGATGCGGCCGGGAATTGTTCTGCCCTGCCCGGCGGGAAGCAGGAAGCCGGGGGGGCTCGGGGGGGCTCCCGGTGACGGCTCGGGAAGGATTTCCGGGAGGGTGGGGGACGGGAAGGGCCGTGGGAACGGGGGACACCCCGGCCGGGCTTCCTGGGGCGGGGGTGAGGGGGGCACGGGCACATCTGGGGTGTGACGGCCACATCTGGGGTGTTGAGGGCACATTTGGGGTGCCACGGGCACAGCTGGAGTGCCACAGGGAGAGTCGGGGTCCCACAGACAAAGCTGGTGGGGGGCTGTCACGGGCCTGGCCAGGATGCCACGGGCAAAACCGGGGTGCCACGGGCACAGGCAGGGCACAACAGATAAATCTGGGGTGCCACGGGCCAGCTGGGGGTGCCCCGGGCACAGCTGGAGCGCCGCAGGAACGAGTGGGGCTCAACAGGCACAGCTGGGCTGGCAACAGGCGCGGCGGCAGGGACAAAGCGCGGCGGCAGTGCCACAGGCCAGCGGGCACGGCGGGGCGCCCACAGCGGGGACAGCCCCTCGGGGTGCCGCGGCCGGGCAAGCTGGGCGCTGGACACCCGGGGGTGCCCCGAGGGCCCGGCCGGGGGGTCCCCACACGGTAACACCGGGATCCCACACGGTGCCACCGGGGGTCCCCACACGGTGCCACCCCAAGATCCCCACACGGTGCCACCCCGGGTCCCCCGTGCTGCCCGCCCCAGCCACGCGCCCCGGCTCCCCGCGCTCGCCGCCGCCGTTACCGAGGGGGGGTTCCCGCCGCACCGAGGGCTCCGAGCGGCGGAGGGGGCGATCCCGGCCCCCCCATCCACGGGCGGATGGCGGCGGGGGCGGGGAGGGGGAGCCGGCGGCGATCCCCGGTACCGGGAGGAACAAAGCGCCTCCCCCTCCTCCTCCCGCCCGGAGCGGCCGTGAGGGGCGGCGGCGGGAGCGCGCCGCGCGGCCCCGCCAGGCCCCGCCCCGCCCGTGACGTCACGGGCGCCCCTCGGAGCAGGGGGGCTCGGGTCGGGTCGGGTCAGATCGGAACCGCTCGGGTCGGATCGGAACCGCTCGGGTCCGTTCTCGTAGGATCAGAACCGTTCGGAACCAGTCGGGTCTTACTGGGACCAGTTGGCTCAGCCAGGGTCAGCCCAGCTCGGCTCGGCTCGGTTTGGCTCGGATCCAGAACCAGTCAGCCCAGCTCAGCCCCACTGGCCAGGCTTGGCTCAGACCAGCTTGGCTCAGCCAGGCTCGGCCCAGTTCGGGGTGCCCCGGTTGGGCTCAGCCCAGTTCAGGCCAACTTACCCAGGCTTGGCCTATCCCAGTTTGGCTCAGCCCAGCCTGGTTTAACCCGGGTGAGCCCAGCCTGGCTTTACTGGCCTGGCTCGGCTCGGCTCAGCCTGGTTTTTACCCACCCCAGTTCAGCTCAGCTTAACCAGGCTTGGCCTATCCCAGTTTGGCTCAGCTCGGTTTGACTAGTGCCATCCCAGTGCCACCCCAGTGCCATCCCTGGTGCCACCCTCGGTGCCATCCCAGTGCCACCCTGGTGCCATCCCTGGTACCATCCCTCATGCCATCCCAGTGCCACCCTCAGTGCCATCCCAGTGCCATCCCGATGCCCAGGGTCCCTTCCCAGAGAGGACAAGGTCACCCCCAGGGACAGCACAAGTGCCACCTGGTGCCACCCCGCTGGGACACGGCCGAGCTGGCGCCTCTCCAGGCGCTGGCACCGCGCCCCGCTAATTAACGGGGCCGAGATAACGAGGGCACGGCAGCGGGCACCGAGCCGTGACCCCTCAGTGTCTGGGACCCCCTCAGTGCCCAGGGCCACCCAGTGCCCGCCCTGGGCCCAGGGAGGTCCCTGGGGACAATTCGGGGGTCTCGCCCCCCGCACCCCGTGGGCACCACGTGTGCCCTCACCGGAAAGGGGCGTGGTCTGAGCACCGGGGGCGTGGTTTTCACATACTCAACCAATAGGAAGCGGCGGACTTCTCGCTGGCCCCGCCCTCTGCCCCGCCCAGCCGCCCTCAGGCGCTCAAACGTCAATCAAAACGTGGCGGGCTGGCGGCCCGACCAATCACAGGCAGCTCCCGGTGTGTGAGGCGGGATCTAACTTGTATCAACCAATCAGAATGAGCGACGGGCGGAGCTCCGATCTGGCAGGCTCAGGCACGTTTCCGCCTAACCCGGAAGTTCTGCTGAGGGAGCTTCCGGTGCGGCGGCGGCGCGGCCTCGTCAGGGCCCGCTCCCGTTCCCGCTCCCGTTCCCGCACCCGCACCCGCTCCCGGCCCCCTTGCGGGCCCCGTTCCTGGTGCAGCCATGGCGGACGTGACCGCCCGTAGCCTGCAGTATGAGTACAAAGCGGTAAGTGCGCGCCCGGTGCCCTGAACCCCGTCCCGTTACCGTGAGCGCACCCCGGTACCGTGAGCTCTCTCCAGCCCAATTTTGGGACCCCCAAACCCCCTCTGAGACCCCAGCCCCACTTTTTGACCCCCTGCCCTTCTCCCAACCCCAGTCCACCCCCTCAGCCCCACTCCCGCCACCCCAAATCCCATTAAATCCCGTTTTAATCCCATTTAATCCCATTCCCATCCCATTTTTCCCCCCAAAACTCCAGCCTGCTGCTCCAAGCTCACCGCTCCCTGATCGAATGGGGAATCCCATTTTACCCCATTTAAATCCCATTTTAACCCCATTTTCCCCCATTTAATCCCATTTTTCCCCCATTTAATCCCATTTTCCCCCGTTTCTCCCCCAGAACTCCAACCTGGTGCTGCAGGCCGGCCCCTCCCTGATCGAATGGGGAATCCCATTCAATCCCATTTCAATCCCATTTTAATGTCATTTTACCCCATTTTAATGTCATTTTACCCCATTTAAATCCCATTTAATCCAATTTAAATCCCATTTTAATCCCATTTTCCCCCGTTTCTCCCCCAGAACTCCAACCTGGTGCTGCAGGCCGACCGCTCGCGATCGAATGGGGAATCCCATTCAATCCCATTTTAATGTCATTTTACTCCATTTAAATCCCATTTTAACCCCATTTAATCCCATTTTAATCCCATTTTCCCCCATTTAACCCCATTTTTCCCCCATTTAATCCCATTTCCCCGTTTCTCCCCCAGAACTCCAACCTGGTGCTGCAGGCCGACCGCTCGCTGATCGAATGGGGAATCCCATTTTTCCCCATTTAAATCCCATTTTACCCCATTTAAATCCCATTTTAACCCCATTTAATCCCATTTTAATCCCATTCCCCCTGTTTTTCCCCCCAGAACTCCAACCTGGTGCTGCAGGCCGACCGCTCGCTGATCGACCGCACGCGCCGGGACGAGCCCACGGGGGAGGTGCTGTCCCTGGTGGGGAAGCTCGAGGGGACCCGCATGGGGGACAAGGCGCAGAGAACCAAGCCCCAGATGCAGGAGGAGAGGAGAGCCAAGTGAGACAAAACGGGTTTTGTTTGGCTCCAGTTTGGCTTTGGAAGTGTTGAATTGTTGGTGGTTAATTTCCAAAAAAAATCGGGGTTTTTTTGGTGCTAAATATCCAAAAAAAATCTCCTTTTTTTGGTGCTAAATGCCCCAAAAAACCTGCTTTTCTTTGTGCCCAATTTAAAAAAAATCTTTTATTTTGGTGCCCAATTTAAAAAAAACAACAAAAAACAAGTTTTTTTCTGGTGCTAAATGCCCCAAAAAACCTGCTTTTCCTCGTGCCCAATTTTAAAAAAATCTTTTATTTTGGTGCCCAATTAAAAAAAAAAAAAAAAAAAAATTTCTGGTGCTAAATATCCCAAAAAATCTGCTTTTCCTGGCTCCTAATTTCCAAAAAAACCTGCTTTTCCTGGAGCTTCCCTTTCTCCAACTCAACATTTTGGGGTTGAAAAACCCAAAATCCCAAACTCACCCATCTCGGAGATGCCAAAATCATCACAAAAAATGAAAATAAATCACTTTTTTGGGAATAAGCTGGTCTGGAAAGAGCAGGATTTGAGCCACGAGGGAATTTTGGGGGTTGGAAAACCCAGAACCCCAAACCCACCCGTCATGGGGATGCCGAAATCATCACAAAAAATTGACATAAAATTGAAATAAATCAATTTTTCTGCGTTTTTTGGGGGGGAAATGGGCCTGGTAGAGCAGGATTTGATCCCTGAGCATCTCTGATTCCCAAACTCCCCCCGTTTTTCCAGGAGGAGGAAGAGGGACGAGGACAGGCACGACATCAACAAGATGAAGGGCTACACCCTGCTCTCCGAGGGCATCGACGAGATGGTGGGCATCATCTACAAGCCCAAGACCAAGGAGACGCGGGAGACCTACGAGGTGCTCCTCAGCTTCATCCAGGCTGCCCTGGGCGACCAGGTGGGCTTCTGGGATTTGGGATTTGGGATTTGGGATCCACGCGTGGTGACCCCGTGGGGTGAGGTTGGGAGGTGGGGAATACGTTGGGTTGGAAGGGGTTGGAGAAGTTCGTGGTGACCCCGTGGGGTGAGGTTGGGAGGTGGGGAATACGTTGGGTTGGAGAAGTTGTGCCGTGGGTTGGGATGGTTTCTGCTGGATCAGCCTGGGCTTGGGCATTCCCAGGGATCCCAGCTGCTCTGGGGGTTCTGTCCCACCATGGAATGGTTTGCTTTGAAGAACCTCAAAGCCCATCCAGTCCCACCATGGGTCCCACACTTTCCATAGCTCCAGATGGCTCCAGAATGGCCTTGGGCACTTCCAGGGATCCCAGCTCCTCACACAATAATTATTCCCAAAACCTCACCCAGATCTCCACAGGGAAGTATGGAATGGGTTGGGTTTGAGGGACACCAAAGCTCATCTGGTTCCACCATGGGTCCCATATTTTCTACTGGATGAGATGGCTCCAACCTTGTCTTGGACACTTCCAGGGATCTCAGCTGCTCTGGGAATTCCATCCCAGCTCCTCACCCAATGTTTCTTCCCAAAATCCCACCTCAATGCCAGTATGGAACCATGGAACGGTTTGGGTTTGAGGGGGACACC